CGGGCTAGAGTGCAGTGGTCTGCCTCCTCTTCCAATCCCAAGCCCTCGTCTCCATCGACGTCCATCTGAATCCAATCCGTCCCGCCCTCCTCTCCCTCGCCACCCAAGCCCCTCCACCCTCATCAACCACCCCACACACACCCTTCATCCTCACCATACCCACCCACATCCATCTGCAAGCCCAATCGCCATACCCACCATCACTTCGCCCGCCATGCCTCCACTCCACGACCCCCTCATCCCCCCTACCATACTCATTACGCCCCTTACCCCCAACCACCACCCTCACCCCCTACTTCATCACCACCACTTCCATTCCAGCCACAGCCCCCACCCCCATGCCCTGGCCATGCCCACCACCATCCCATCGCGCACTCGGCTTCCTCTTCCTCCTCATCCTCCTCCTCTCCCCGCTCCAGCTCACCCCCATCCTCTCCCCTGACCCCGACACCGCCATCCCTCAACCATCACAAGCCATACTGCCCATCCTCCAACCAATACCAATCGCAAGGCACTCAGCCCTGATCCCACCCCCTCAGCTGCCCTCGCCTCGCCGACCACCAGCCACCAGCCGCCGCCCGCTCGCCCGATCAGGCCGACCCTCATCACCACCTAGCTCCTTCCTACTACCAGCGACGCTACCCACAACCACACCCAAGGTCATCACTCACCTTGCACTATCACCAGTACAATTATCGCCGTCATCCATTCCCATCTTCCTCGGCTCACTTCCGCGTTGACATGTTTTGCCTAGGTGGTTGAGCACGTCCTCGACCGCTCGACCCCGCACACGCCCCCCACCACTCTCATTGCAAGCTATTTCCAATCTGATTTCACTACTGCACTACTACATACACACACTACATCTATGCGCAGTCTCCAATCCACAGCCGCAGTATTCCGGAATCCGAGTTCTGCCACCTGAGGCCCAACTTGTTGGCGTGGTGTCTCTTTGATGCTGCTCACCCCTCCTTCCCGGGCCGAGGGTCGACTGCCGCTGTCCAGCATTGCTGTGGCCATCTACCGCCCTACACGACCGCCTCTGGCGATGTTTAAGCGTGCTTTGCCTTCTTGGCGCTAGTTCCGCTCGGCCCCTCGTCATCGCACTCGTGCTTCCGCTTACCGCAACTTTTGATGGCGCTTAGTGCGTTCCACTTCTCGGCAGATGTGGTGACGAGCGCGCGGGAGCCCTCGGGCAGGCTGGTCTTGATGTCGCCGAGAAACTCCGAAGGTGGAGAGGATAATCGCTCGTTGTAGTTGACGAGCACGAGTATGTCCTTTGCCCGGGTCATAGCCACGTGCGCCAGCCGCCGCTCCTCCTCCACGTTGCTGTCCTCCTTGTCCGGGTTGTACGGCAGCCGGCCCTGAGGGGTTTGCAGCCCCGGACGATGGGCCACTCGAGGCCCTTGGCCGCGTGGATGGTCGAGAAGACCACACCACTGCCCTCCCGCACCTGAGCAAGATCTCCATGTAGTTCAGCGTACGCCAGGAACTTCCGAATCGCCGTGGCTCCGTCCATCTTTGTCGACTCGCCATCCTCGATATCAGGGCTTCTGTGGAGCCCAAACTCAGCGGCAAGCTTAAACAGTTGCTCGATGTGGTAGTCGTACGTATCTAACCCCTGGCGCTTCGCCGAGATGTCGGCCACAGACACGTCAGTTCCGTACGCGTTCATGAGATGCTCACGATAGCCGTACATATCCATCACATCATTGACAATGCTGCGGAAGAAGCTCGGAAAGCCTGATGCAACCACGTGCGCCTGGCGAACCTTGTCTGTCAGCGCCTTTGTGACATCGATGAACTTCTTTGCGGCCTCACGCGCTGGTGCTCGCATCGAGACCTTGCCTGCCAGGCTTCCGAGGATATACTCGTCCTGGCCGTCCGCCAGGTACTCGAGTGCAGTCAGCGCTGGCTGGCGGTACACTGCCGATGCGTTGACCACCACTTCGATCGACTTAGGGCCAATGCTGCGACGGGGACGTTGATTACCTTCATAAGTGCTGAGTTGTTGGCTGGGTCGACCAACAGCGAAATGTATGATAGCACCACCTTGTTCTCGGCGATGTCGACTAGCCGCTCGCCGCCAATCGTGTGCGTTGGGATGCCCATCTTCTCCAGCTTTCTCGGAGCCTTCTGCATCGTCTCGTTTTGGACCTTCGCCCGACACAAGATAGCAATGTCCGACGCGCCGTAGCTAGTGTTGTCGCACAAGCTCTTGATCTGCTTCGCCAGTCCATCGGCGCATAGCCCTGACACATACTGGACCGGCACTCCATCGTCTCGAATCGCGGACACGAGCGGCTTCCGCGACATGCCCTGCACTGGCTCAGGGTTCTTCGCGATGAGCGCCGATGCCACTGCGAGAATGAAGTTGTGCGACCGGTAGTTCTGGTGGAGGGCGACGTGCTTTTTTCGCCGATGTTCACCGAACTGAAACGCTGCGCAAAGTTACCCTCCGCTCCGCGGAACGAGTAGATGAGCTGGTCTGCGTCGCCGACGACCATGAGCGATCTGCAAGCAGCCGGGATCGGGCTTTTTGCCTCGTACTCTGCATCGTCTGCGTACGGCGCAGCAATCATGTTGATGAGCTTCCACTGTTCTAGCGACGTGTCCTGCGCCTCATCGACAACGACGTACCGGAAGCGCGACCGACACGCCCGCCGGATGAGCGGGTCCTGGCGAAGCATCTTCACCGCGTACGGCACCATGTCGCTGAACTCTACAAGACGAAGCGCCGTCAGGGAATCGTTGTACCGGCCCCATAGTTTCTGCACGTACTCATCGTCGTCATCATCGAGGCTGTCTCCACGCTTCTTGGCCTTCGCGATCTTCGTCGCAAAGTACGTGACAATTTTCATCGGGGCTTCAAACCGATCGTTTCCAACCCTCTGGTCATAATCCGACCGCAAGCTGTGTGGGAGCATGGCCCGGTTTGGCAGAAGATCCTCCGTTGCCGCCATCTCCTCAATCAGTGCCTTCACGATGTCCTGTCCCCGCTCTTTGTCGCACACGCTGACGGTCACCTCCCCTGTTTCGTCGGTAATCATCGCCGTGGCTGGGCGATGGGGGAAAGCCTCGCTCGTGTGATACTTCGAGTACTCGCGGAACGGTACTGCTGTGGGGTGATGGTTGATGAGCGCCCATGCAAAGCCGTGGACGGTCATGAACAACGGCTGGAGTCCGTTGTTGTCACGAAAGTGGCAAGCGATCCGGCTGCCCATCTCGCTAGCCACCGCGTTGGTAAACGCGAGCACCAGAATTGCCGTTGGATTGATGCCACAGGCCATCATCCACTGCACCCGCTCAGTCACCGTTCGCGTCTTGCCTGTCCCTGCCCCGGCAAGCACAAGTAGCGACGTGTTGGGGTCGGCAAAAACCGCCTGCTTCTGCTCCCCGTTGAGCTCGCACGTCGACTGGTAGTGGCCATACGACGCCATAGATTGCTTTCTGGCTGGTGCGTACTCTGCTCCTCTTACTCGTTGCTGTGCCTCGAGACAAGTATACCCGAGTATCCCCTGCTTTGTCCTTTGTTCTGTGACCGTTGCTGGTGTTGCCTGTGTGCCCCGGCGCGGACGATTTTTGTTCTCTGCTTTTGAACACAATAATTGCCGCCACAGAACAAATTGCACTTTTTGGCCCGCTGCCTACTTTTCGGCTGTGTTCTCTGCAATGGCCGCTTCCCGCCTTGTTCAGCCACCACTCTCCATCCCCCGCCGTTCTCACACATGTTACCCTGCACCGTGGTCGCGGCCGTCTCCTTACTCGCTGTCTTCCTTCTCGCCCTTCCCACACCCACCACACCCACGTGCACAACCAGCTACCTCCCCCCGTGCCATCCTCGCTTGCTACCTTGACCTCGCCCTTTGACGCCACCTCGGCCGTCCTCGACTCGATCACCTCGCCGCTGCCCGACCTGGCCGTCGTCGACCTTGACAACGACGATCTCTTCATTATTACCCGGACAGGCGCCGGTGGCTGGAATGTCCCAGTTTCCATCGACGCCTCCAACTTTGTCCCTCGGATGATCCTCGCCCAAGACGTCGATCATGATGCTTCTCCCGATCTTGTCGTTCCCTACGAAGGCTTTGATGAAATCGTCATCTATCGCAACATCGGATGGGATGCCTCCTTCCCCGGCCCTCACATCACCCTCGCTCTGGGCAGCGACGATGATCCGTGGGACGTGGCTGTGGGAGATGTTAATGATGACGGCGAGCTTGATGTCGTCGTCTCGCTGTACTACACCGACTTTATCGGCGTCTTTCTCGGCTCGGGCTCTGCTGCTTTTCTTCCCTCCGTCGAGGATCTCACTCTCGCCTTGCCACCCCACATTGCTGCTGAGGGCCCGCGACAGGTGCTAGTGGCCGATTTTGATGGTGATAGCATCGACGACATTCTCTACGCCACAGACTACCGCTATCAAATTGTCGTCCTTGTCGGGCGACCCGACCTTGTCGCTGCGCCCGCCACCGACGTTGCTGTCCTCGACGACAACGCCGCTGCCGTCAAGTACCTCGCCATCGGCGATCTGAACAAGGACGGCAACATTGACGTCGTTGCCTCGCTCGACGACGACGATGAGATCGGCATCTACTACAACTACGGCGACCTCGCTTTCTCCCACCGGACAGTAGTCGCCGCCGAACAGGACGAGCCGCGGAAGGTCATTCTCGCCGACATTTCCGGAGACTCGTGGCTCGACATTGTATACATTGCATTCCAGGACGACGTTGTTCGCTGGCTGCCGGCCGATGCCGGCGGTGTCTTCCGCCTCCCGCCGCAGCTCGTCGCCGAGCTCAGTGACCCTGTCGCCCTCGCCGTCGACGACTTTGACGGCGATGGCCGGGCCGAGTTCATCACCTCGGCCGCCGACGCCGTCGTTCGCAAGTATGCCTTTGACGACGACGCTCCGCCTTTCCTCTACGACACGACAACCGTCATGACCGCCACCACCCAGGGCGTCACTGGCATCGACCTCGCAGACATGAACGGCGACGGCCATGTTGACCTCGTCACCACCTCGCGCTGGGACACCACCGTCGCTCTCTGGTTTAACAATGGCAGAGGCGAGTTTTTTGACGCTGTCGGCTCCTCTCGCCCTACCTCTCTCCTCATCTCAACTTCGCTCACTCTCCCCAACGATGTCGTCCTCGCCGATTTCACAGGCGACGGCGTCCGCGACATTGTTGTTGCAGATGCATCTGCCACCGGTGCGGTCTTTTGGTGGCCTAACGACGGGGATGCCTACTTTCCCGACAAGCCGCTCGTCCTTGGCTCCTGCCCCTACGCCCACTCGATCGTCTCTGCTGACTTTAACGTCGACGGTCTGGCTGACATCGCCGTCGCCTGCATATTCAATGCCAGTCTCTCTGTCGAGCTCTTCCTCTCGGCCGCGCCCTCCTCCGTCTGGTCACAGCACTCTGTCTACAGTGCGCCCGGCCCGCTCGCTCCTCCAGCCGACCCTGAGTTCCCGCCCACCCTCCTCTATCTTGCTGCCGGTGACATCGACGCCGACTCCCTCCCGGATCTTGTCGTCTCTGACGCCTTCAACTCGGTCGTCGTGTCCCTACGCAACGCCGCCCCGGCCGCCGTTCTCGGTCCGCCGGTCGTTGTCGACACCATGGCGGTCGGTACGCCCACCGCTGTCGCTGTCTGCGACGTCGACTCGGACGGTGCGCTCGACATTGTCCTCGGCATCGCCAACGGCGCATCTTCGCGGCTCATGCTTTACACTCAGTCCTCGCCCGGTTCGGCCGCTTTCCTTGGCCCGCCCACCGATCTTGGCGGTGTGCTAGATCCGCCCGAAGCGATCGCCTGTGCCGATGTCACCGCCGACGGGCGGCCTGATGTTGTCGTTGCCGAGATCGGCCACACGTCCGAGTCGGCGGTCGCGCCCTCGCTTTCGCTCTACCGCAATGAGCAGCCCGGCTGGTCCGCCCAGATCCCGGTTGCTAACTACAACAGCAACCACCCCGCCGTTCGCCTTGTTGACGTCACCAACGATGGCCTCACCGATATCATCGTTGCTGTCACCAGCTACGCCGAGGTCCGCGGCGCCATCCAGCGCCGCCGGCTCGACACTGTCCCGGCCAGCGCTGCCCTCCCGACCTTTCTTGGAGGCATTACTCCGCGGCTAACCGACATCCACTACGCCCTCAGCACAGCCTCGCGCTGCGCTCCGCAGACCATCGTCCTTCCGCCTGCGTACAACATCTCTGGCTGCTCGCTCCTCAACCATCTTGTTGTCCCATCGGGCACCGAGTGGACAATCGCTGGTCCACCCGGCGCCGCGTCGGCTGACCGGCCGACCCTCAGCTGCGGCGCAGCAGGTGGCGTCATGTTCTCTGTTGCCGCTTCTGGCTCGCTCACCCTCGCAGACGTCAACATCGAGAAGGCGACCGTGGCCTCGCATCCCACGGCTGTCACCGGTCTCCGTGTCGCGGGCGAGGACGCCATCCTCGCCCTCGTCAACGTCACTGTCTCGCGTTTTCATCGGCCGCTGCCTCGCCGTTCCAGTTCCTAGCCGGTCACGGCGGCGCCATCTCGGTCCTGGATGGTGCCACACTCACTACCTCCCGCTGCGTCTTTGAGGGCAACACTGCTCTGGCCACGGGCGGTGCCATCGCCCTTCTCGGCGACGCGCCTCTTGTCCATCTCTCCGATACTACTCTCGCTGCCAACACCGCTCTCGGAAGCGGCGGCGGTGCCATTGCCATCCTCTCCGTCGGCGGCCGACTTGAGCTCGACAAAGGCTGTGTTGTTGAGGCCAACATCGCTGCTGCCGGATCGGGCGGCGCTTTGCTCATCACCCCGGCTGCGGCTGTGGTTACCGTTACCATTGCCGACACCGCCCTGGCCTCCAACTCGGCAACCCTGGCCGGCGGCGCCATCGCCGTCTACGCTGGCTCTGGCATCAACGTGCGCCTCGCCGCCGGTGCTACCATCTCGAGCAACTCTGCCCATGCTGGTGGTGCCATTGCAGCACTAGCGGCCTCGTACCGTCTCCCTTCTGCGCTGCGCTTTGCCTCGGCCACTCTACCGGTCGCTCCACCGTCGCCCGTGCCACTCACGCCGACCGTCTCTTTCTTCGCAGGCGCTATGCTCGCCGCCAACTCGGCAACCTACGGCGGCATGTTCTTTGTCTGTGGTGCGCGCATCAATGCCTCTGCCGCCGCTACTCCTCCCGCTGCCGCACCGGCTATCGCTACGGCTGGCGGCTACGTCTTTGCCTGCCTTGGTCCTGCCGCGGACCCCCGCCGCTATCGGCTTGGCTAGTCGATCCGGCCACAGGTGCCCCGCCAGCCACTGCTAGCGGCTACGGGCCAACTGTTGCCACTCCCCAACTGCTCTCGTTCTCGACAACCTCGAGAGTCACCCGATCTCGGGCGTTGTGTTTGGTACCGGCTCGGTGTCTCCGCGCGACGCGCTCGGACAGGCCGTCGTCGATTCCACGCTTGTCCTCGACCTCGCCGTCAGCGACACCTCGCTCACCATCACCGGTGCCGAGATCGGCATTCCGTTTGCCGGCGGCTCGGGCCGCGCCGCTTTGGTCTTTGTGGCTCTCGTCGCGCCGGCGTCTGCCTTGCCTGCCCCTGGGCGGCTGTCGCTGACTCTCCGCGGCGCGGCCGATGCGCCACTTGTGACCACCGCCGCCGACATTGTCGTCGGCCTCTGTCCGCGCGGTTTTGGCGCTGACACCCAGGCCTCGCTCTCGGCTACGCTCCTTGTTTGCTCACCGTGCGACGAGGGCAGTTACTCGGACGAGCTCTCTGACGCGCCGTGCCGCGCCATCCCGCCATGCCCGGCCTTCTCGGCCCGCCCCGGCGCCAACAACGCCACCCATCTTATTCGCTGCGAGTGCGAGCCGGGCCGCTGGACGCCCGAGCCAGTCGTGACCCAGCCGTGCCTCGCGTGCCCGACGGGTGCCGAATGCGACGGCGGCTATGCCCCGCCGCTTGCCCTGCCGGGCTGGAAGCAGATCAACCCAGCGCCAACCTTTGCACAGTGCCCAATCGGCTCGGCCTGCCTTGGCGGCCGCGCCACCTCCCCCTGCCGCAACGGCTACGAGCCGGATGGCTACCTCTGCCGGATTTGTGCCCAGGACGCCTTCCGCTTCTCCGATGGCTCGTGCCGCCCATGCCCGAACTCGTCAGCCTCGCTCTTTGCCGTCTTTGTTCTCGGCCTTATCCTCGTTGCCTTTGCTGGCGTCGGCGTCGTCATTTTTACCACCCGCCGGGTCGGCCCGCGACGGGTCGACCGAGCCCGGCGTGCTCCGCCGCAGGCCGAGCGGCACAAGCTTGTCCCGCACGCACTCTCTGTTTCGCTTGTCTACGTCCAGATCCTGGGTCTCCTCGCCGATGCGCCTTTCAACTGGCCCGAGACCCCGGTGCGCAAGGCGCTCCGCGCCGCCAACGTGGCCAACGTCGACCTTGCATTCTTCTCCACCGACTGCACCATCACTGACTTTTCCACCCGGTACATTGTCTCGCTCGCTGTCCCGCTCTTTTTCGCCGCCTCGATGGCCGCCTTTGTCCTCCTCGCCAAGCTCGCTGCCCGATCTGTCCCGCGCATCGCCCGGACCCGGCTCGCCTCCATCTCGGGCTGGACGCTTGCCGGTCGCGTGCTCTTCTCGTTTGGTCCGCTCCTCTACATCCCAGTCTGCAAGACCACGCTCGTCTTCTTTGACTGTACCCGGCTGCCCGACGGCAACTACTACCTTGACGCTAACCTCGACGAGCAGTGTTTCGTGGGCACCTGGCTGCGGCTAGCGCCGCTGGCGGCGGTGGCGCTGGTAGTCTACGTCGTGGCGCTCCCGGCCTTTTTGCCATTGTCCTCTGGCGCAATCGCTACGCCCTCGGTGAGGTTGAGGTTCAGCTCCGATACGGACCTATCTACATGTCGTACCGCACAAAGTATCACTGGTACGAGGTGGCCCAGCTGATGAAGCGACTGATGATTGTCTCGGCCGCTCTCTTCTTCTCGCGAGTCGAAGTCTGGCTCTTCGGCGCCCTTCTCGCAATCTTTCTCGCCTTTGGTGTCTTTCAGATCAAGCACCAGCCGTTCTACTTTCCCGTCCACAACACCCTCGAGGAGCGGCTCAGCCTCGCCATCATCATCCTCCTCACTTGCGGCATCCTCTTCTGGGCCGACAACTTTCCCACCTCGACCTCGTACGCTGCCGTCGCCGTCGTCGCGGCTACCGCCATAGGCCTGTCGCTCCTTGCGCTCCTTGCTGCCGCTCTCGAGGAGCTTGGCGCCGCCGTCAAGTTCCACCGCTCTGGCCGCCTTGTCGAGGACGCCGAGGCAGCCGACGCTGTCGAGCTCTGTATTCGCGACGAGGCCTTCCTTGCCCTCGTCTCTCGCCATGTCCTGGATCTGGAGCACCCGGAGATTGTCACGCCCATCCACCACATCCACGAGCGGTTCCTCGAGTCGAGCTCCGACTCTGGCTCGCCCGCAGCTCAAGCCCCAAGTGGCTCCCCGAGCTCGACCTCGAGCTCGAGCTCAAACTCGAGCGCGGGCGAGACTCCAGCCTCGAGCTCTCACTCTACCTCGCTTGCCAAGGATGGACTGACATCGATGCCTGTGCCGCCGTCGTTGCCGGCGGTCCCACGACAGGCGCTGCCGCCTGTCCCACGAACCACAAACTAGCGGTCGTCTGTGACACCGTTAATCGCCTCGCGGTGGGCCTCGGTAAAGTAGAAGCGCTCGAAAAAGGAAGCCGAGAATGAGCTGCTGTAGCCACCGTACGACCAGCACGCGTCGGTTTGGCCGATGCCGGTGAGGGCGCGGCGGAGGAGGACGTGAAAGGTGAGCGACGAATCGCAGTGGCCGATGAACATGTGGGCCGAGCTGGTGAGAATGCTCATGTCGACTGCGGCTCTCTCTGTGAGTGAGAGCGACTCCAAATCATCAACGAGCCCGGCCTTGGTGCGGAGCCAGCAGCCTGCGCCGCGGACAGCACCGGCAAGCTGGCGCATGGGCCCCGAGTCACGCTCAAGGCCGGTCGCGACAAACACCGTACATCCAGCCGGCCGGTCAAGGTCGACAGTGGTGGCCATAGCTTGGTAAATGAGCGGCACAATCCGCTTCTCCAGCCACACACTCCCGTCAATGGTAGTCGGCCAGTCCGACTCCATCCGGAGGTGGACCCCGATGACCCATTGGCCGGCAAGCTGTGCGTAGACGTTGTCGCGGGTGTGACCACGCCACATCGGAAACGCGATTGCGTTCAGAACACCCAAGGCCAGAGTCTCGGCAGCAACGCTGCTTGGCTGGTAGCAGCCCCAGCAGCCGCGGGTCCCGCTCGTTCCGTTGGATGGACCGAGGTTGGCTACCGCCGAGCTGCCGAGGGCCAGGTGGGGGGCAATGCCGCGGCCGACCTCATCGTCTCCCCACCATGTCTCTGTCGCTGCCCACTCTAGCCGTTCGCCAGGCACACCATCTTCACGACTTCCTGCTGCGAGATGGAGGAGACCGCTGCCTGTCGCGACGTCGACTGCCTGCTGGAGCTTGTCGAGCCGAACAAACTCGCTCACCGACATGACCTCTGCCACGGCTTTGCACTCTGGATCGTCCTCCCACCACGGACACATGGAGACTCGTTGCGGGACAGGCGGCAGCAGAACACTCTCCACGCCCATCGCCCTTGCGACGCCAATGGTCTGCACCAGGGCTAGCACGTAGTTATTCAGTCCGATGCCGATTTCAAACGATACCGCGCCCATCCCATTCCCACCGCCACTGCCACTACGAGTGCCGGCGCTACTGCCACCAGTGAGCCCATCTTGTGCTACATCCTCTCGATGGAGCGCGACGAGGCGATGGATGCGATCGACGCGCACGTCGTCGAGCTTACCAAGGGCGTCCTCCTCATCGCCATGTTGATCTCCCGATGACAAGCGCGGCGACGATTGCCGGTGAACGACGGCAGCCGCCACCATCACCACCAGCAGGACCACTCCGCTGGCTGCCGCCCACCACCATGCCGACCGTGGAGCCGAGAGCGACCACGGCGAGTGGTGCAACTTGGCCTCGGCCTCGACCGACGAGTCGCCGGCCTGAGCCTCCTCTGGCACTTGCGGCCACCGACCGGCCTCCTCGTCGCGGAGGACGTGGCTGTCATCGGGAAGAAACGGTGGGCGGTGGCGGAGGGCCATAGTAGGGGGTTAGAGGGGGGCGGAGTGGGGGGGGGGGAGTGGGGTGGTGACAAGGCCGAGGCTGGGGGGGGGGGGGGGGGGGAGAGGCAGGAGGCAGCAGCCGGGAGCAGCGGACGGGGGGACTGCCACGCAGGCACCGGCTCACCTCATCTCATCGCATCTCACCCGTTGGTTGTTTGTGATGTCCTTGTTCATGGCTCGTAGTTGGGTTACGATCATGACCGGGGCCCCTGCTGTCGCGACTTTTCGGCACGCATGCGGAGGATGCCGACCATCTGGACCCACGGATGATGGGCGAGGCTGGCAAGCTGCGGGAAGCGGGCAGCAACACGCTGGGTGAGCGCCTCGTACTGTGCCGGCTTCTCGGCCTTGAGCTGGTCTGCGAGGTGTGACGCCGCGAGGTACGCGATGTGCTCGTCCGGGTCGTCGAGAAGGTGGGTAAAGAACCCGAGTCCACCGATGGCCTTGAGCGTCTGGCTCTGCGACGACTTGGCGATGAGGAACATGAGGAGGACGGCCCGGTGCGCGGCGGCAGCCCGTGGGTCGGCAACCCTGAAGAGCGCCACAAGAAAGTCTGGATCGAGGAGCTTGACCAGGTCGCGCGGGACAAGCGAAGCGCCCGAGACAAACGCGTCCACCGCCGACGCCGACGCGCCCCATTCGGCCGAGCACGGCACCGCGAGCTGGTCGAGGAGGATACCGACGAGCGAACGGACAACGTGCTGCTGGACCGAGTGTGAGAGGACGAGGACACGCGCCTTGCTGTCGCCGCCGACGCCACCACCGCCACCCCCGCCCGGCGCGTCGCCCCCGCCTGGCGCGTCAAACGCAAGCGACGGGTGGAACGGGACCGGCGAGATGGCGACCGTGTCCGCAAAGTGGACGTACGCCGTATTGAGCCAGTCAAAGTACGCCAGCAGCGAGGCCGAGTGCTCGCCCGACGCGCTGCCGTCGCTGCTGCCCCCGCTCCCGCTCGCCTCACCGCGGCTCACTGCGGCGCGCTTGGTGGCGAGGACCCGCGAGACAACCGTGAGCGCGTGGCGGAGGAGCGTCGACGAGCCCGACCGCATCAACCGCAGCAGCAGCGGGAGGCCGAGCAGCGACTCACGCTCGGCGCCCGACGAGAGCATCGAGACCAGGAGGGCCACGGCGTTGGCCGAGTCGGCAACCAGCGGCGAGGCAAAGAGCGAGACGAGCATGGGCGACGCGGTTGCCGACGACAGCGGCGTCAGCCGCGACGAGACGATCAGATGCGTCGACGCCAGCTTCTCGATGTTGTACAGTAGCGCCACAATGAGCGTCTTATCCAGCGTCTTGGCGTACGACGAAAGATGCTTGGATGAGCCTGTCCCGGAGAGCTGCTCAAAGAAGACATGCCGGAGGAACCGCTCCGGGAACCGCGCCGCCACGTGCGCAAACATCGACTTGAACAGCAGGGGCGCCTCAAATGCCGCAAGCAGGTGCCAGATGGCGCTGAGCGCCTGCCCGGTGACTTTGAGCGTGCCGGCGGCAGCGACCGCATGCGCCGAGACGTCAAAAATGAGCCGAAAGTATATGCGTAGTGCCACGTGCGAGTCACACGACTCGTACAGAGCGAGAATCGGGCCGAGCGGCGTGGCCAGGTGCGGGGTGAAGAGTGCGGCAATGAGCCCAAGCCGCTGCGTGTCGAGATAGAGCCACGATGGCTCGGCCGTCGTCTCCACGTCGGTCGGCGCCGACGGGTAGAGTGCAAAGAGGAGCATTCGCGCGAGAACACCCGTCGTTGCCGGCGAGAGGTGCGGCATGTGGACGAGGAGGTGGACAACCACGCGTGGGTCGAGCGCTGCCACGCGCGCCGGAAGCACAGCGCCGGCGTCGGTGGCGAGGAGGAAGAGCGCGTTGAGGACTGCCGACCAAAGTTTGACCGACGTGTGGCCCGAGAGCAGCGCGAGGAGCGCCGCCGAGGCGAGGACCTCAAACACGGCGTCGTGCATGACCGCAATCCGCGCCGACGCGCCGGCGGCCCCGAGCAGGTCACCGAGGTCGAGCGCCGCCAGCGCCGTCGACTCGGCTGAGAACTGCAGGACCGCCGACTGGGCGTAGAGCTCCAGATGGGTCGCCAGGTTGAGGAGCAGGTTGAAGCCGTGGAGCGCAGCGTCGGCGTCAAGACTTCCGCGCGGCCCGGCGGTGGTGACCAGCTCAAAGACCACACCTTGGACCGCAAGAGCCGCCGCTGCGGGCTCCGACGCAGCGCAAAACATGTCGATAAAGATTTTGAGGAGGACCTTGGACGCGAGCTTGCGCGTGGCGAGGTCCTTGGGTGCCACCACGGCGTTGACTACGTCCTCGATCTCGGGCTCGGAAACCGCGAGCGGGACCTGCGCCGCGTAGTACTTGTAGTGGAACATCATGCCCGGGGCGTCGGCCTCGGCCGCGGCGTTGCGCGCCGCCCGCGACGCGGCACCTGGGTCGCGGCCGTCGGCCGCGGCGTCGAGAGCGTCGAGCATGCCGCGCGCCCGCGCCACACCGGCCACCGACGCGAGCAGCTGCTCGCGCCGGAGCGAGCCGACCGCGCGCCGCAGCTCGAGTACCGTTACACCCGACTCGCGGATCCGGGTCCGGAACAGCGGGCCAAACAGGTCCGAGTGGTGCAGCGCGTGCGGATCGATGTGGTCGAGCGGCGAGAGCGAGGTCCGCCGCGTCGAGCCGCCGGTTGAGCTCGACGACGCGCCCGAGCTTGACCGTGCCCGCGCTCGTGCTGATGTCGGCGACGAGAGCGGCGAGACAATCGCGCCGCGCCGCGGGCGGAGCTCGTTGGCCGCCGCGCTTGCTGCAGCCCGGCTCCGCGCAACCACCGAGCCGGCCGTCGCCGCCTCCGATCCCGACGGCGGCGGGCACGAGCAGGCTGTGAACGAGTCGGCGATGCGATTGGCGAGCGCGGCCACGGCCGAGTTGGCATGTGTCTCCGACAGCGTCACCACCAGCGGTGCCACCAGCAGCGCAATGCTCTGTGGAAGCCTGCATGCGCGACAGGGCAGAGCAGAAGAGCTCTGTTGACCGCCACCGAGAGTCATCAATGTTTCGCACGTGGTAATGTGCGCCAGTGTATGGGCCAAGACGGCCAAGACCTGCGCCACCCGCTCACTGTTGCCAGCGGCGTCGGTGAGCGCAGCGGTGACGGTGGCCGTCACGAGCGCAGTTGCATTCTCCACAGTGTCGGCACCACGGACAAGGTAGCCCTCCTTCCACGCACGAAGAGATGACGTGGTAGGGGGGGCGAGTGCAAGCACAGCCGCAACCAACTCGTCGTCCATAGAGGTTGGTGGTGGGGGCGGGGTGGGAGGGGGGGGGGGGGGGGCAGGCGAAAGCCAAGTGTCTGTTGTCGGGGACTTGCCGCTCACTCGGAAGGCACACGCGTCCTAGGAGGAGGAGGAGGGGAGGGGAGGGAGGAGGGAGGGAGGGATGCACACCGCATGGCTGTTGTGATGGACTCGGTTGGGGCTGCAGAACATGGTAGCCCATTGATCTTGTGTGTGAGCACAGGTATAGCTTGCGATCCAGCATGTAGGCCCGCTGGAGCTTGCGGTCCAGCATGTAGGTCCGCTGGAGCTTGTGATCCAGCACGTGGGTCCGCTGGAGCTTGCGATCCAGCATGTGGGTGCGCTAGAGGCTCTGATAGCGTCAGCAGGCACGGATGGAGCGAGTGGCCCAGGGCCGATGCAGGCGGGAGGGCTCAGGCTCCGACCTGGCTACATTCGACTCGCCGACATGACAACCCAGGGTGGTCGCCCAGCGCGGTACACTGCAAGGAGCAGAGAGGACACCTCGCGATATGTGCGGATATGGGCTGGGGCGGGGTGGCGGTGCTGGTAGCGGTGCTGGCGGTGGCGTACTCGGCGGCGAGGAGGGCTAACGCGTACGAGACAGAGCTCCTGGTGCTAGAGGCGGAGCTCGCTGGCTGTGCCGAGTGGTCTGCCGATGTAGCTGGCGATGTGGCGGCGCGATATGCTGAGCAAGTTCAGCAGCTGCGATCGATGCTGGAACGTGCACAGCTTGAGCCGGAAGACCTGCATCCGCATCGCGAGAGGGCGGCGCCTCGGCCGCGGGCCATACCACGGGTGACCAACCTCACGTTTGCCGAGTTCTTCCACGAGTATGCGTGCAGCCAGACGCCGGTCATTGTCACCGATGTGGCGCACAACATGCGTGCCGACGGCTCGGGCTTGTGGACAACCGACGAGATTGTGGCGGCGTGTCCGGAGCTCGACGTCCCGCTGCGCAAGTACGACAAGGCCAGCGGGCTGTGGGGCGGCCTGGCCGATACCTCGCTCCGCCGATCTCTGGCAAGCTTTGCTGCTGCGCGATCGCGTGCGGGCAACGAGTGGTTTGTCTTTGACGCCTCGCTCAAGGCGTGCAAGGCCTTTGTCGACGACTTTGCTGCTCTCCCGTACTTTGCCAACGACTACTACCGGCGGCTCCCGCCCGACGCGCCCAAGCCCGGCTGGCCGTCATTGTTCATGGGCCCGGCCGGGGCAACCACCGCGGTCCACATCGACGCCTACGGCACCGCGTTCTGGATGACCGTCCTTGACGGTGCCAAGGAGTGGCTCATCGCCCCGCCCGCCGCCCGTGAGCACCTCTACTACGACGCGCTGAAGCAGTCGTTTGCGCCGGGCCTTGATCTGTTTGACCTCGACCTCGCCGCCTTTCCGCTCGCAGGTCATGTTGAGCTTCTCACCGCGACGCTGGTGCCAGGTGAGTGGCTGTTTGTGCCGGCTGGCTCGCCGCACGCCGTCCGCAACCTCGCGCCGACCACGGCGCTTGCCGGCAACTTCATCGACGCCGCCAACCACGCGCACGCGCTCGACGTCATGGCTCGCGAGAAAGCCGGCTCGAGGGCGCGGGCGCGTCGCGCTGCCTTTGCCGCTGTCGACACCCGCATGATGGTGGCGCCGCCGGCTGGCCTCGCCTGGCGCGACTTTAATGCGCGCTGGCCGGCGTACGTTCACGAGCGCGGGCTCAAGCTCGCCGACATGACCTGCGATCGGCACTAACGTGCTGGCGGGTGGCGCGCTCAGGCCATTGCCTCGGCGTCAAGCCGCCGCGCCTCGTACTGCTCCGGGAACGACGAGGAGATGACCTCGGCGAGGACAGTGTTGACCGCCGGCTCGGCGTCGAGGACGGCGCGGCAGAGCGGACACTCGGGCTTGAACTTGAAGACTTCGGAGAGACAGATGTGACAGAACGAGTGACCGCAGGTGGTGGTGACCGGACGGTACATGAGCTCGAGGCAGAGGGCGCAGGTGATGGAGTCAAGGAGCATGGCGCCGCCCGACGGGCCGGCGAGTCCGCCGCGCCCGGTGGAGCGGGCCTCCTTGGCGGCCTCGAGTCGCGGATCGTGCCACGTCGTCTCGCCTTTGGCCTTGTTGACAAAGTACTTGCGCTTGCGGATGGTCGACGTGACCTTGGCCCGCCAGCCCTTGGGCATCTCGAGCTTGGTTGCCGTCACATGCGTGGCGAGGACCTCGTGAAGCTCACGCTTGTCATCCGACGAGGGCGCGGCGAGGAGGACACCGACGTCGGCGCCGGCGCCGGCGAGCATGAGCGCGGCCTTGCGCTCGGGCGACTTGACGTTGAACGCACGTACCGGGTCGATGACCTCAAGCGGCGTCTTAGTCTTGGAGTTGCGTGGGTTGAGGTTAGTTGTGCCGCCGATGAGGGTCGAAAGTGTGGCCTCGAACGCAGCCTGTGAGGCCTTGTCCGAGTTGACCGGATCGCACATCCGCTTCACCACAATGTGCAGCGCCGTGTCGCCCTCGCGCCGGTTGTGCGATGGCCGAGCTCCGTTGAGAAGCAGCAGCTGGACAAGATTGGCGTCGCCGTTGTAGGCGGCAGTGTGGAGCGCCGTCCGACCCGACGAGGTTGCGACGTTGACGTCCGCCCGCCCGTGCCCAAGCAGAACCTTGACGCTCTCAGCCTCGCCCGAGAGCGTCGCGGCGTGCAACGGGTACACGCCGTACACGTCGGGCATCGACTCGCCGGCACCGCCAGCTCCGCGCCCAGCATCAATGAGCATCCGCACAATGTCGGCGTGCCCGTGGCGCGCCGCCCAGAACAGCGGCGTCTGTCCGTCTTTGTCCACCACCAGCGCCCGCGCGCCAGCGGCGATGAGCATGTCGACGGCCGCCATGTGGCCCTTGGACGCCGCCAGGTGCAGCGGCGCAAAAGCAGACGCCCTGTTCGGCACATTGAGAAGCGCGCCCATGTCCAGCAGCGACGCCATGATGTCGACGCGGCCTTCGATCGCCGCCCAGTGCAGCGGCGTGTTGCCACGCACGTCCGGCCGCGACGCGTCGGCCCCGTGCAGCAGCAGCAGGTCGACGAGGTCGGTCGAGCCGGCACGGACCGCAATTGCCAGTGCAAACGTCCCATCAGGCGCTGCCACGTCCGGCGATCGGCCCTTGTCCAGCTTGTCCAGCACCTTGGCCTGGTTGCCGGCCTCGACCGCGCGCAGCAGCTTGGCCTCGGACTTGGAGACAGGCGTCAGCGACGGATTCAGCCTGCAGCGATACCAGGCAAGTAGGTCGTTCTCTTTTCCATCCTTGAACACAGCCTGCGGCTTGAGATTGCGGGCGTCCTCGGCACGAGGATCGCCGCCATATGCCAGAACGAGGGCAATGACCGGCTTGGATCGCGAGTAGCACGCGTGATGGAGCGGAGTCCGGAGCTTGGAATCGGCAGCATTGACAGATGCGCCAGCTTCAAGCAGCAGTCTGGCAGCCAGGTACTTGCCATGGAAGCAAGCATGCATCAGTGGTGTCGCATTTCTTAGTGGTGTCCTCTCGTCGATCTCGCCTGCTGTCATGAGCAGCGTTGCCAGCGCATTGGCGTCATTGCTTGCCGCCGCCGCATGGAGCGGAGGCAGCGGTGGTCCCCCTCCACCTCCACCACCGCCACCCACACCCCGTCCTCCTTCTCTACGAGCACGTTGTGCCTTCTTGCGCCTGCCCATGATTCAGCTGGGTGTGGTGTAGAAAGGCCCCACCGTCGGCCTGCTGTGCTTCCATGGTTTTGGTTACACTTGTCAGGCGTGTCGACGTTCGACGGAAATGGGGGCAGCCCTCGCAGCCATTGTGGGGCAGGAGGAAGGGGAGGGGGGGGGGGGGGGGGGGGCATCGGATTGCGATGAAGGTAGATGGGAGGGGAAAGGGGGGGGGGGTAGGTGGAAT